TATTTAATTTTATCTTGAAAATTCAAAAAATAATGTAATTTGATTAAAAAAAACTTTTAAAAATCATTTACTTTGATACAGAGAGTATTTTGTAAAAACATATATAATTTGAATAGTACTCACAAAAATGGGACAAAAGTAAAATAGTGTTATTATAACAACAAAACCACCAAACATAATACTGACAAATTATGGTGGATTGTACAAGAACCCATATTCCAATCAAATGAGTAACGTATATGGTTTTACATATATTATTTTAGTTTGCAAGTACATAATTTTACTTTATTTAAAGAGAAAATAATAAAACACTCGCTATCTTATCTTATATAATATTTTAAGATTTTTCTAAACCCAAGTCATGAGAAGATGTCATGTGTAACTTATTCTTTTGATATTTTTTCTGATTTATTTATTGAAAAAAAAAATCTAAGTCTTTTAATAACTTTAACAATGAATTCCTACAATTTAATAGCTACTTTTAATATAAGCTAATTCCAAAAATTAAAGTTTAACATAAAGATGGTCAAAAATTATAATTTCAAATTAATTGTATTGTTGTAGACTTTTAACAGTTTGAAATTTATATATTTTAATTTATTAAACGCAGCAACATACTATACAAAAATATTTAAACTTTAGATAGGTAACTACGATTTTAAAACAAAAAAATCACAAAAGCTTTAATAAAAAATCGTAACATTAACCTAAAAAAATGGTGTGAAAAAATTAATTAGTGATTTTAAGAATTTTAAGGTTGTTAGAATGCTAAAGTTGTCAATCATCTCCTAACCAATACTCTCCAAATGAAACTTTATTCCTCCACAAAAACATTTTTTATATGCATACGCTGTAATTTTTATTAATGAAAAATCTATTTTTTCACATATAACATTGTATATGTCCAACAATTTACTCCAAATGCTTAATCTTCTAAACTAGATAATTATTTAGTACAATAACAATTTTATGTAATATTAAATAAACAAATAATCAATAAGCTATAAATATTGCATATTTTACCATGTTAATTTTTAAATCCACGCAAAACGTGGACAATCTCTAGTATTTA